GTATTCCATTACAACAAAATCGATTAGGCAGGGACAAGCAAAATCAGCGGCGGCAGTAGGCGGCTCTGCTACTTCTTCCTTTTTTCTTTCTGGTGAGGTGAGAACGAGAGACAAGGAGGTCGATGGGTACAGGTTTCTTTCTTTCTTCTTCTTCTTCTTATTTTAACTGATTTACTGTAAACCAATGAAGTTTAATCTTCAAATGGGTTTTTTTTTAATTTGATTTGATTTCAATATATAGAATGGATGTTTGGGTTGATTGTTTGACAGAAATCAAAGAAATTTTGGATGTGTTTAGGTTTATTGTCTAATTCTTTCAAGGTGTAATATTTTTGGTGAATTGGGAATTTGTTCTGATTGTTTAATTTTACAGGAAATTGAAAGTTGTTTTGATGCACACCAAGCGCTCACTAAAATGCTTCAACTGAATGATATTTCTCCGTTTATAGTATTCTATCAGAAAATAATGTTTTTTATGATAATCATGAACATATTCTGTTAGAATGCCCCGAATTAATATAATTATTGGTAAATGAATTCAAATTCTATCAGAATGGAATCACGAATTCCAATTATGTTGGAATGAAATATGGATATTTTCTCACTAATTTATTCATTGGATTTGTTTCCACAGAAGCTGATGCTTGAAGAACGGACCACGAAATTTGAACGACGCCTCTTAGCAACATTTATTCTTTTAGAATGTATTAGTGTCTTTGTTAGATTTTGATGTTTTTTTTCCCGATTTGAAATTTTTAGTTTTATTCTTTAACAATAAATGTAATTCTTAGCAATTGTTACATGTATTCTATAAGAAATAATGTAATTTTTGTTTTAATTCTTAAATTGCTGGTTCAAGAATTTGTTATTCTACAAGAAAATTTTAAAGTCATGATCAAGAAATATGTTGAAGAATATTTTTATTATTTTATGGTTCTAGAATATTTTTATTTTTGAACATACTCAAACATATTCTGTCAGAATGCCCGAATTAAAAACATTATAATTCGTAAAATCGGATTTTTAAAATTAATAGAATCTATGATCCCTTAAAATATACAAATTTCCTTTATTAAATCTGTATTAATTGACTAAAATACCATTCTAGTTAAATTTGATGGTATTTATCAATTATATTTAATTCAATAATATGTATTAATCACTTTCTTAAAATAAGTAAAATGATTGGCCCACATTAATGCATACAATAACACAATAATTACTTTGAATAATATATCTAAGCCTATATATATATATATATATATATATATATATATATATATATATATATATATATATATATATATATATCCTTGTGCGTTAGGATACAAGATTAGTGGTATGTTGGTTAGCGTACCAGTAGGTTGGTGATCGTCTAGAGGGATACCCTAGGGCTGTATGTAGTCATGTAGGATAACCTGAGGACTCTTGATCTCGACTTTCTTGCATATTCCTTGTTTGGTTGTGGCTCTAGAGTAGGCTCATCTGTCTGAGTGTCTATCTCACCTCTGGTTACATATGACTATGCATTCCTTGGAAATTGTCGGTAGTGCGGCAATGTGCTGTGAGGGAACTAATAGGCGGTCGTGAACAGTTCGACAGTTAGATTGGTAGGTGGATTCACTTTTGTTTTGGGAGGAGAAGTTGTTTCATAAACACTCGAAGCCTAAAGTAGTATGAAATTTCACATGATGAGAAAAAATGTGATGAGTGTGTGTGAGGATAAGGTTTTATTATATTTGAAATTCTTGAATACAGGTTATAAACCTACATGTTAGGGCTTGGATAAGGTTTATTTATTATTTATTATTTAGTCAGAGACTTTTACTAGTCAAATGCAACATACTTGTTTTACCATTTACTGTAGAAAATTCCCTTTCTTCCACACAAATCGACGTCAATCTTTGTAGGGACAAGGCTTTAATGATACATATGACAATGATATCGCAAATTACATCACAATGTTTAAGCCTGAAAATAGAAACTCATACTTCACTAAGGTAATGATAATCAATTAATCATTGGGGTATATAATATAAAACTAAACAAAACAATTGTATGAATGATCACAAAACCAATGTAACACCTCACAATCACATACCCCGAAGTGATATTTCCAACTGCTCTATCTTCTTAGCCATATCATGTTTCCCACAATTCTTTAATCCATCAGTCACCATATCAAAATGTCGTGACATTGGTGACAATTTAAATTCAATCATCTCCATCAAATAATTACCAGCTTCAACATATCTCCCACCACGCACACACATCTTCAAAATCATACTATAAACAGGTCGATTTGGTGGATGCCCTTTCACCTTCATATCACTAAAAAAACTAAACGCATCATCAAACCTTCCATTCCTAAAAAGCCCTTTCAAAATCGGAGCATATAAACTCGGGAACGGCTTATTCCCATCTTCAATCGATCTATAAAGAACACTAAACGCCTCATCAATCTTCCCAATCTTTGAAGTTGCAGTGATCATGATCTTGTAAGTATCGATATCAGGACATAACCCTAATCTACAAACATCATGGTAGAGAGCAATACAGAAATCAATCTCACCCCATTCGCATATAGCTTCTGATAATGTATTAAATGTGGTGACATCACATACGAAGCCCTCTTTTGTCATTTTACGCACTAACCCTTTTGCTGATTCAAGATAACCAGCATTCAATAAGCCATCAATCAAAAGATCACGACCACGAACAGGTGGATTGAACCCCTTTTGACTCATTTCTTCTAAAAAACTTTGGGCTTCTTTCATCTTTCCAGCAGAGCACCACCCGTTGACTAAAACAGAGTAAGTTTTTTTATCTGGGGTCATTCCTTTACGAACCATTCTTCTAACCAAAGCATATGCTCCTTGAAAATTCTTGACTTCACAAAGGGCAAAGAGTAAGGAATTGTGTATTTCAGTGGTTTGGGTGCAATTAAAGTTCTTGCATTTGTTAAAAAGCTCAACAGCTTGATCGATAAGCCCGTTTTTGCCATAATGCTCGATTATAAAAGAAACAACAGATGATGAAATTGGGAGTTTTTGGGTTTTCATCTGGTGTGCGACCTTCCACATGGTCTCCCAATGGCGGGTTTTGGCTAAGATTTTGAGGAGTTCTTCAAATTCAACGGTGGTAGGTTCGTATTGGGGGTGTTGGGTTCGAACCCAATTGAAGAAACGGAAAGATTCGATACCTGAATTGGAACAGCTGCGGAGTACACGATAAACAAGCTCTGAATTGACGATTCTGGAAATGCACATTTTGTTTAGGGTTCTTTCTAAGTAGATATCACGGCGCACAATGTTGGAAATGTGATGAATTGTAGCAAAATAATCGTCGTTTGTTCCGTGGTCTCTTGCCCTGCCATTACTCATCTGGTCTGTCATGGCGGTTTTGAGGGTTCTGAAAGCTGTGCCGATGGAGAACGTGGCGGTGGCGGTGGTTCTTTTTACCGCCGTCAATCTTGTAAAGAGAATCATTGGAGATGGATACGCTTTGTATTTTCTACTCCCAATTTCACGGTTTGTTTAGCAATTCAAGAAATTTGATACCTGGATAAATTTACAACGAGGAAAAAGTCGATCCAAAATCACTGAACAATTTTACCATGAAAAACATATGCTTTTTGCTATAAAGGATTATCAAGAGTTTGAATTGATACCTGGAACGAAGGGGGAGATTCTGTTCGGAATTAGGGATTTTTGTAGAAGAGAAGACGAGAGAGTTGAATATGAGAGAAGGAACGTGTGATTGCGCCATTGTAGTTTATCGATATGAAAGGTTGTTGTGTTCCTCTGTGGCGGAAGAGATGTATGATTACCCGTTAACGACGACGACTTCTGCTGCGACGGAGTTAGGGAGGGGATGCCGGGACGAAGGAGGAGACGATGGTTGGGCCTAAGCCAGGCCCAAATAAAATATTATGTCGAAGCATTTGGGTTGGGCCGTTTCTTCCTAAAGGAAAACAAAGATAATAAATATTAGATAAAAATTAAAAAAGAGATTGTTTTACTTGTGCTTTTTAGTTATTTCTATGACTAGTATATATGTGAATATTAACTCAAAAAAAGAAAAAAATAATAATATTTACCTCTAATGGGGCAAAGAAAAAGAGAACTCTAAGCACAAATATTAAGGTTCTTATTAAGGTTAGGTATCATTGCTCTTAACTAAAACACACAGTCACATACGCCTTGTTACCAAAGTCATCTTAGATAAAAAAAACACTGGCATAGTGTAGCTAACTGAGCATTAGTGGTTAATTTTACCATGCAGTTTGGTTTGAACCTCTGAATTTTGGTGTTGAATGATAAAAATGACAATTTTACCCTTTTGTATCATTTCTTTCAATTACAACATCATATCTTTGAAAAAAATCCATGGAAGTAGGATGCTAAACATTACACCCAATATTACAAAAAAATACAATGAAAACTAAACAACCTAATATTTCATTATAATTACTAGCCAATAGTTTCCAATCATTCCAATCGACTGTGTCATCTTCGCTATGCAGGTATCAACCTGACTTCCCAATCTCAATATCGAGCCATTCGCTATCAACATGAACAAAACTAGAATTGAAATTCACTGAATCAACAAATAAGAATTCAATTTTGACTTTTTATGTTTGACTCCGATGAACATAATTGACTCAATTGCGTTCGACTCCAATCAAACAAGTATGTTCAATCAAGTAAAACCATTCGCTGTATGTTCGAATGAACACATATAGACCACATCAGATCAAAATTGAAATATAACCTAACAAGTAGCAATCACTTTGATGAACAGGGGCAACAACACAAGGGGTAGGATAGACAAAATCAAGCCAAAAAAATTGATGGAGAGAGCGACACAAAATGCTTACTTTCACCATCGTGCTTGAATGCTGTTTGGGATTGGGATTGAAACAGAATAATCGAGTTTTAGGGGAAAAATAACCTTACCAAAAGTTGAGTTGTCGATGAGGGACCTGGAAGGCTTCAGCGATGACGGCACTGGCGAAAGATCCGGCCGACTGGTTCCGAAGATGGAGTGGGTGAGGGAACGTCGTGTGTATTGAAAGAGAAGAGGGAAAGTGAGGCTGAAATATCAAGGGAAAACCCGGAGATGATGCCGGAGGCGATGCAGCTGGAGCAGGAGACGAAGGCGCCACAGGCGAATCCGACGGCGGCGGCAGGAGAGGGGATCGGAGTTGTAGCAGTGTGGAGTGGAGGAGAGGCGTCGTTGATGGTTGGGAGGGGAAAAAGAGGTTGCGTCGTTGTGGGCAAAACAGGAAACACGCGTGCCCTTATTTTTTCAGATGCAATCACATGTCTGAGAAAGAGGTGTTTTTTAATTTAAGTGGCATAAAATAAGATGCTATCAAAGACCCTACATCTGAATTTTTAAGAGGTTACCTCTTAATTTTTCAATTAAAAGGTAAACAAACAGCCCCTTACTTACATATGACTATGCATTCCTTGAAAATTGTCGGTAGTGCAGCAATGTGCTGTGATAACCTGTCGAACTGTTCACGACCTGAGGACTCTTGATCTCGACTTTCTTGCATATTCCTTGTTTGGTTGTGGCTCTAGAGTAGGCTCATCTGTCTGAGTGTCTATCTCACCTCTGGTTACATATGACTATGCATTCCTTGGAAATTGTCGGTAGTGCGGCAATGTGCTGTGAGGGAACTAATAGGCGGTCGTGAACAGTTCGACAGTTAGATTGATAGATGCATGTGCTTATGTGCCAACTTGATTTCTTGTTTGTTTATATGTCAACATATTGTGGTGGGTGAGGTTGAGGCAATCCTGTTGTGTGCTGTAGGCCAAGAGACCAGGTGCGGGTCGGTTGTAAGCCGTAGGCACGAAGGCTCGAGAAGAGCGGTTGGGTTGAGGCGGCAGACCAACAAACATGGGGTAACCAAGTTCGATGAATATGGACCCAATATGCATGCTTATATATGTTCCGTTGTGTGCGATATTTTGGGGGAAATTCACTAAGCTATGTGCTTCCAATTGTTTATTTTTCAGGTTCTATCGACGATCATGGGAAGACGAAGACGTGACTGTACACATTCATTAGTAGCATTGAGGTCGAGGATTCTGTGTTTATTATAATACTCTGATTTTCAACAAATGTAATTTGGAACAAATGTTTTTTCTTAAAATGGATTTAAAATTGTGAAGTTTTACCTTAATAAAAATGAAAATTTTTTGTTGTGAAAATGAGACGTTACAAGTTTTGGAACTAAAAACACATAATTTTTTTGATTTTAGACCATTCATGCAGGTCGGAAATTTTTTGGACAATATCCACAGTTTTTTTTACAAACCACAAAGACTAAATTTACAATTTTGTCTAAATTGTTTATAGTTTTTTTTTTCATGTTTGTAGAAGAAATATGGAGCAAAAGTTTTCATTGTATATAAAGAAAGACTTTTTTTTTTGGTGTGCATGCTAAAATTTATTTATTTTTATTTAAATTAAATTAAATTTAACAAAATCATCATGATTCACCACTTTATCACAAGAACCATTGTCCACCACTACTATTACCATTTTCAAAAGCCATGAAGTTCCAAAATCAATAAAAACAATGTTCAAATTCAAAACAAAATCAACAAAAAAACAAGAAACAACATAGTACAAAACAAATAGAAAAAAAAGCAAATAAAAAAACAAAAAAACCAATTTGAAAAATAAAAATAGGCTAATGTCATAAAAACTTTCAAGTTTTCAGGGTTTTGTCGGTTTTGCGTAAAGTTGAATTTTATGTCCGTTTTTACCCTAACATTTTCCAAAAAATGTTCGGTTTTACCATTTTACCGGTGATAACAGGTTACCATCATATTAACTTCGCAAAAAACCCTTAAGTTTATACTTTTTTTACGTTTTTACCCTTAAGTTAATAATTTTTTTTACACTTTTACCCTATGTATTTTTTTTTTCATATTATACGTATTCATGCAGAAAAATCATATTTATATACGAAAAAAATTTAATTAAATATTGTATTTACATTTTTTAATGTTATTTCTTTATATATATATATATATATATATATATATATATATATATATATATATATATATGTGTGTGTGTGTGTGTATGTGTGTGTATAGGTTTTTTTCTTGGATAAACCATTTAAGATGTAAAAAAAACAAATTAATATGTTTTTAGAACTACAAATACATATTTTTATGTATTTAAAAATATACATATCAATAAAAAAAAATTTGTTCAATCATAAACATGTTTATATAAGTATATACATATATTTTTAGAAGTGTAAATATGTATTTTGATATATGTTTTGTTTAAAGTATAAATATATATTTAGAAGTATAGATACATATTAATATATAAAAATGTAAAAATATGTATTTATACTTCTAAAAACTATATCTATAAAACACGTATTCATAATTCTAAAAATATTATTTATCTTTTTAAATGATATAACAATGCAAAAACACACACACACACACACAAACAAAAATATATATATATATATATATATATATATATATATATATATATATATATATATAACATTAAAAAAAATACAATATTTAATTAAACATTTTTTCGTACATAAATATGATTTTTCTGCATGAATACGTATATTATGAAAAAAAATACTTAGGGTAAAAGGGTAAAAAAAATTATAAACTTAAGGGTAAAAACGCAAAAGAATGGTAAACTTAAGGGTTTTTTTGCGAATTTAATATAATGGTAACCTGGAAAACCTGTTATCACCGGTAAAAGGTTAAAACCGAACATTTTTTCGAAAATGTTAGGGTAAAAACGAACATAAAATTCAACTTTGGACAAAACCGACAAAACCTTGAAAACTTGAAGGTTTTTATGACATTAACCCATAAAAATAAATAGGGATTTTTTTAGAAAGACAAGTTGAAAAAAAAAAAACAAATAAAAGAACAAACTTTAACCAAAGGATGTGTATCCTAGTCTCAGGTTGGAAAGCTATTCATTTCATATGTAATTTCCATATGTGGTCTAGGGTTTAAATTAAGTATTAGACAAAATGTATAAAATTAGAAGTAAATTTAGTAGGTATGTTTGTCATTCTAAAAAAGAAAGAAACTTTAAAAACTAAATATTAGAAATTTTTTCAATTAAAATATTTTTTATATCTCTAGAAAATAAATAAATATTTTTATGTCTTCTGTCTTAAATAAACAAATTTCTCATATATATTTTGTTCAAGAGAAGATATAAATAATCAAAATAATATTAAAAAAAACAAACACAACCACCGTAACGTCTTTCCGTCAATTCTCAGGGATTAAAGTTAGTTCGGTTTAAAACAAATATGTCGATTAGAAATACCGTTCTAAAAATATAGTATTATTTTATGATTATTTCATAAAATTAATTTGAAAAACTAAAATAAAAAAGTCCAGATTCTACCTTATTTTGTTTTTTAAATGATGTATAGATACCCTCTTTCGAATTTCTTAGACTGGTAGGTGTGGGCAACGCCCACACCGACGTTATTGGGAAAAAGACAAAAAAACGACGTTATGAAATGTTATGGTGGTAACGGGGAGCAACGCACAGGCTAATAACGCCTAATAACGGGGAAGATGGGCGGTGTTCACGTGTTATAACACGCAATAACGCCTTTTGGGGCGTTGCCCATACTTACCGCTCTTATTGATAACAACCAGGAGAGGGAGAGGGAGAGGTGCAATCTTTCAGGCTCGATCCGAACCACACGGCTCGTACCCGAACCTCCGCTTAGGTCCAGGGCCTAGGCTCTCATTCTACAGTTCGTTGAAAATTTCACACGATCACTTTATCTCTCTCTGAATCCCTCATCTTCTCGACCTCCCCCGTTTTTCTCACCGATTCAAACCCTAGTTCCGAAGTTAAAGCTCTACGAAGCTCCGATTTCCAGCTCCACCGACGTCTCTGCTTCAATGTTCTAAGTAAGTTCGTACACATCTTTTTCATTTCCCTCAAAACCCTAATTTTTTTATCATCCAAAAAGCAAAAGCCTTTAATTTTACTTTTCGATGGTAACGCCTTTGGCCTGGTATTTTCTTCTTCTTTTCTAATTAAATAAACTGTTGATTTGAACGGAATTTCGGTGTGGAAAACGTTTAGCAAATTTGATCTTCTCACTATATTGTGCAGATTTTGCGTTTTAGTAAGGAATTTTGGGTTTTAAACGTGAATATCTTCAAGGGGTTTCCTTATTTATCCATGCAATGTATGTATATTCGTGTGTTTAGCCTGATTTTTAGCTGGTTAGTTGTGGTGACGACTGTGGCGGCTTGGTTAGTATTGTTTTTCGGAGTATATGCTTGCTTAACTTGCTTTTTGTTTTGATTAACTGTTGCTATTTGTGTTATGCCATCGAGTTTTGTGTGGGTGTGTCCTTTTGGTAGTACCTAACTTCATATAACCTCCCTGGTTCCAAATATGGAGCTATAAAATGACTTTTGATTGAAGCTTGTGAAGCGTTGTTTATTGAAAGCTTCAGCTCTTTATATACCCACTAATGCTCAGTTAGCTACACTATGCCAGTGTTTTTTTTATCTAAGATGACTTTGGTAACAAGGCGTATGTGACTGTGTGTTTTAGTTAAGAGCAATGATACCTAACCTTATAAAGTTGATATGAGCTCACTAAGGCTTACAAGAAAGACCCCTAACTGCAGTTCATTGCTTTATCAGATAGTTAGTTGCATGTCTGCACCTGTGTCTTCCCTAATCAAATGTTACCAATTCATTTAATTACTTTGAGTGCAGATTTTAAATGTATTTTTGAACCTGACACATCATACATTGGTTTCTATTTGGTATTAAGTAATTCAGTGAAGCAGGGTCTTCTGAATTTTGAATAGTCAAGGTTTAGGAATTTGAGCCTGTCATGAGTTATTTCTCACAGAACCAGTTCGGTCACCAAAAATATTTAGTTAGTATTTAGTTGCTGAAGAGGAACGTCTCTTTCAAGCTATCTGTTGGCTTTACTATAGGATTATGCATGTGAATGTTACTATTGTATGCATGTGCTGTTGCTGTTGTGATAAATATTGCTTGCAGATTTTTGATATCATGATCACATAATAAAATTGTCCAACATCTTACTTATATTATATATAGATAGTTACTTGAAGCACTGTATTTGGCTCCTTCAAAGATTTGACATAGGAGAATGAGCTATGTTATTTTTAAAAAGTCTTAACCAACTAGAAATTGGGGATGTATCTTAATGACACCGTGATGCAAATGCAGTAGAATCCTTTGATCTACATGTTAACTGTTGTTGTTCAAGCTGATAGATTCATCGTCACTGTGGCCCTTTTCTCTTTGAGTTAGTTGTTATAACTGATGAAACTCTACCAATAAAGCTGAAAATTGATTGACAACCATTACTTAGTCACCATTTGCTGGGGTTTAGATCCAAGCAGGAACCATAATTGTCAAAATCAGATATTTTGATTCATGAAACAAACAATCCAAACCCCATTGGCAATCATAATTTTGCTTAGTCTGCTGTTGCCTTGGCAAACATTCTTGTATCAACAAATCATATTAATAGATTTCTTTCCTTAATTGTGCTGTTTTTGTGTAGTTTTATTGATACAGAACTAAATAGTGCTTAGTAACCAGACAAATATGAAGATTTTTTTAATGATGACATTTGTTAAAGTTATAACGTATGACCATTGAGACATGACAAATAAAAGTGTATGCGGACAACAAGGACACCTAATAAAGAGCAGAGGAGCATATAGTAGGAAACATTCAAGGGGGTTTCATTGCCTTTTGTCTATGTAGACTTACTTAAAACTCTTTCTTTGTTTGGACTCATGGATTTGAATAAACAACTTACTAGTTAGTTACATCTAATTTGTTTTATAACATTATTCAACCTAGGCTCGGTTCTAAAAGAGAACGATCTGAAGTTGTTGGAACTTTTGGAGCAGCTTATTTGTTTATCACTACAAGTTTTCTATAGAAGCTAATGTAGGATGGTTGAAACAGTAAAGAAAACACTTAATGTGGGATAGGAGAGTCGAAATTCCTTTTATAGTGCAAGCACATCCATTTCTGGTTTAAAAGTTCTCTAAATTATATCTCCAGAAAACTATCTAAGGAGGTTCTGATACATTTTTGTCCACATACAGTAAAACAATCTCTTTTTTAATTTTTATCTAATATTTATTATCTTTGTTTTCCTTTAGGAAGAAACGGCCCAACCCGAATGCTTCGACATAATATTTTATTTGGGCCTGGCTTAGGCCCAACCATCGTCTCCTCCTTCGTCCCGGCATCACCTCCCTAACTCCGTCGCAGCAGAAGTCGTCGTCGTTAACGGGTAATCATACATCTCTTCCGCCACAGAGGAACACAACAACCTTTCATATCGATAAACTACAATGGCGCAATCACACGTTCCTTCTCTCATATTCAACTCTCTCGTCTTCTCTTCTACAAAAATCCCTAATTCCGAACAGAATCTCCCCCTTCGTTCCAGGTATCAATTCAAACTCTTGATAATCCTTTATAGCAAAAAGCATATGTTTTTCATGGTAAAATTGTTCAGTGATTTTGGATCGACTTTATCCTCGTTGTAAATTTATCCAGGTATCAAATTTCTTGAATTGCTAAACAAACCGTGAAATTGGGAGTAGAAAATACAAAGCGTATCCATCTCCAATGATTCTCTTTACAAGATTGACGGCGGTAAAAAGAACCACCGCCACCGCCACGTTCTCCATCGGCACAGCTTTCAGAACCCTCAAAACCGCCATGACAGACCAGATGAGTAATGGCAGGGCAAGAGACCACGGAACAAACGACGATTATTTTGCTACAATTCATCACATTTCCAACATTGTGCGCCGTGATATCTACTTAGAAAGAACCCTAAACAAAATGTGCATTTCCAGAATCGTCAATTCAGAGCTTGTTTATCGTGTACTCCGCAGCTGTTCCAATTCAGGTATCGAATCTTTCCGTTTCTTCAATTGGGTTCGAACCCAACACCCCCAATACGAACCTACCACCGTTGAATTTGAAGAACTCCTCAAAATCTTAGCCAAAACCCGCCATTGGGAGACCATGTGGAAGGTCGCACACCAGATGAAAACCCAAAAACTCCCAATTTCATCATCTGTTGTTTCTTTTATAATCGAGCATTATGGCAAAAACGGGCTTATCGATCAAGCTGTTGAGCTTTTTAACAAATGCAAGAACTTTAATTGCACCCAAACCACTGAAATACACAATTCCTTACTCTTTGCCCTTTGTGAAGTCAAGAATTTTCAAGGAGCATATGCTTTGGTTAGAAGAATGGTTCGTAAAGGAATGACCCCAGATAAAAAAACTTACTCTGTTTTAGTCAACGGGTGGTGCTCTGCTGGAAAGATGAAAGAAGCCCAAAGTTTTTTAGAAGAAATGAGTCAAAAGGGGTTCAATCCACCTGTTCGTGGTCGTGATCTTTTGATTGATGGCTTATTGAATGCTGGTTATCTTGAATCAGCAAAAGGGTTAGTGCGTAAAATGACAAAAGAGGGCTTCGTATGTGATGTCACCACATTTAATACATTATCAGAAGCTATATGCGAATGGGGTGAGATTGATTTCTGTATTGCTCTCTACCATGATGTTTGTAGATTAGGGTTATGTCCTGATATCGATACTTACAAGATCATGATCACTGCAACTTCAAAGATTGGGAAGATTGATGAGGCGTTTAGTGTTCTTTATAGATCGATTGAAGATGGGAATAAGCCGTTCCCGAGTTTATATGCTCCGATTTTGAAAGGGCTTTTTAGGAATGGAAGGTTTGATGATGCGTTTAGTTTTTTTAGTGATATGAAGGTGAAAGGGCATCCACCAAATCGACCTGTTTATAGTATGATTTTGAAGATGTGTGTGCGTGGTGGGAGATATGTTGAAGCTGGTAATTATTTGATGGAGATGATTGAATTTAAATTGTCACCAATGTCACGACATTTTGATATGGTGACTGATGGATTAAAGAATTGTGGGAAACATGATATGGCTAAGAAGATAGAGCAGTTGGAAATATCACTTCGGGGTATGTGATTGTGAGGTGTTACATTGGTTTTGTGATCATTCATACAATTGTTTTGTTTAGTTTTATATTATATACCCCAATGATTAATTGATTATCATTACCTTAGTGAAGTATGAGTTTCTATTTTCAGGCTTAAACATTGTGATGTAATTTGCGATATCATTGTCATATGTATCATTAAAGCCTTGTCCCTACAAAGATTGACGTCGATTTGTGTGGAAGAAAGAGAATTTTCTACAGTAAATGGTAAAACAAGTATTTTGCATTTGACTAGTAAAAGTCTCTGACTAAATAATAAATAATAAATAAACCTTATCCAAGCCCTAACATGTAGGTTTATAACCTGTATTCAAGAATTTCAAATATAATAAGGGGCCCAAGAGGGGATATTAGGTTCATTAAGTCGGAGGTTGGTAGGTGGATTCACTTTTGTTTTGGGAGGAGAAGTTGTTTCATAAACACTCGAAGCCTAAAGTAGTATGAAATTTCACATGATGAGAAAAAATGTGATGAGTGTGTGTGAGGCACATGGAGTAAGGAGGCGAGGCGTTGTTCATCATGCACAACGATGCGTGGGACTCGAGAGCACAACCGATGAGGTGCACATCAAGCATGACATGATTTGTGTGGATGAAGTAATTATAAGTTATTGATGTATTGATAATTAATATTTTACAATGATTTAAAATTAAATATTAATATATCGTTGACTAGGTTAGGGAAGCTTCAAGAACCTTTGATGACCGTTGGCATTGATTACGAGACGTTCTTTTTCTCTGGTCTGCTCATTGTTAGATGCACTGATAAACAATCACTTAATGGCTTAGTTGGTTGTGAATGAAGACATGGTAAACACACCACATGATTAAACCAAGTTAATTCAAATCCTACCCAAACCACAGAAGGACTGATCAGGAGAAGGGTTCGTGATGTACTACAATGTCTTCGCATATCGCGCAAAGAGCGAGCCCCTCCCCCAAATCCTCGCATAGCGGGGGGCCGGGAAACCCATTTTATTAATATATCTTCTTCTAGCTAATAAATTATATTTACCTCATCCAAACAAGTCATACGAGATGTGCAACTTGCCTCCATAAGTTCAAGTTGATCTCTTATTACATGCACGCTTTTTTCAACCAAGTTGTTCAAGTTAGTGGTGGGATCAAATGAAAATGACATTTTCGTCGAGAATTTCATTTCTATTCGGGGATTAGAGAACCTTGTTTATTTATTTGACTTATGTATATGTAAAGTGTTTATATTGCTAATTTTCTCTTTATGGGCACCCTTGTCTCTTTTAATAATCATTTCTGCATATTAAAATAAATCAATGTGGTTTATATCCCATATTGGAATTGGAACTCCCACACTTGGAATTGGAACTCCCACACTAAAGACTCTTGTCTTGTATGCACAAAAAAAAAAAAATAATAATAATCATGAGGGAACAACTTTGCTACGCCGTGGGGCCAATGTTTTAAAAACAGGTTTTTTAGTTGAACCGGTATGGTAACCGGTTTAACCGTCGGATCAACCGGTTTCTATAATTTTCTTTTTTTTTCCTATTTTCCTACACATACATACATACATATATAAATCATGAATTTAACGTTTACAAGTTCAAATATTAAAGATACACATAAAAATAAGTTGTAGATCAATCCAAATACATTAAAATAACACATAACCATAAGTTTTAGTGTTTTTACATCAATCCATATATGTCAAAAAAGAAAAGAAAATATAATACCGAAACAAAATACAATATAGTTTTAGATGAATACAAACACATAAAAAAAACTTTATAATATTTATCATATGTTTTAATTTGGAGAAAACTAAATAGATTTGAAAAAAACGACCAAAGTTTATTATGCAAATGGTTTTTTCCATGTGTTTTTATTCGGTTTAACCAGTTTATTTTGACCAGTTTAACCAGGGTTTTCTAAAAACCGGTTGGCTCAATCCGGTTCAAAAATCAACGTAAAATCGGTGATAGTTAAATCACTATCTTCTCCGGTTTTCGGTTCGATCGATTGGTTCAAACCAATTTTTACAAGATTGATTGGTCATATTTGCGTAAGTGGAGTCTAAGCCCAAAGGGATTCCCTTTAGATAAGAGTGATTGTCATCCCAATCCAACTAAATATTTGATTTTGTGTTTCATTGCTTTTAAGAGTTATTACTTATTTTATGGTTTCATCTTTAGCATATCTAAACTAGTTTGATATAAAAGGCTTGTTATAGATAACTTACGGATATATATATATATATATATATATATATATATATATATATATATATATATATATATATATAAAGAGAGAGAGAGAGAGGTAAGTTCAATTGAGAAAAAATAAAATGTTCAGAATGGAGTAATCAACCTCAACCAATCATTCTTATATATGTAAAATACATTTAGATTAAGTCATTAAGATACATTTTTATTCTGGATCGTTCATCTGTTCTTCATCAACATCACCAGTTATTCATTCATCTGGATCGTTACTTTGTTCTTCATCAAGATCGTTTGTTCCGTTGGAAAATTTAGTATAAATATTTATATTTTTACTAACTTTGGACAAAGAAAAAAAAAGCATACAACATAAGAACCTTAATATTTGTGCTTAGAGTTCTCTTTTTCTTTGCACCATTAGAGGTAAATATTATTATTTTTTTCTTTTTTTGAGTTAATATTCACATATATTAATAAAATGGGTTTCCCAGCCCCCCGCTATGCGAGGATTTGGGGGAGGGGCTCGCTCTTTGTGCGATATGCGAAGACATTGTAGTACATCACGAACCCTTCTCCTGATCAGTCCTTCTGTGGTTTGGGTAGGATTTGAATTAACTTGGTTTAATCATGTGGAGTGTTTACCATGTCTTCATTCACAACCAACTAAGCCATTAAGTGATTGTTTATCAGTGCATCTAACAATGAGCAGACCAGAGAAAAAGAACGTCTCGTAATCAATGCCAACAGTCATCAAAGGTTCTTGAAGCTTCCCTAACCTAGTCAACGATATATTAATATTTAATTTTAAATCATTGTAAAATATTAAATATCAATACATCAATAACTTATAATTACTTCATCCACACAAATCATGTCATGCTTGATGTGCACCTCATCGGTTGTGCTCTCGAGTCCCACGCATCGTTGTGCATGATGAACAACGCCTCGCCTCCTTACTCCATGTGCCTCACACACACTCATCACATTTTTTCTCATCATGTGAAATTTCATACTACTTTAGGCTTCGAGTGTTTATGAAACAACTTCTCCTCCCAAAACAAAAGTGAATCCACCTACCAACCTCCGACTTAATGAACCTAATATCCCCTCTTGGGCCCCTTATTATATTTGAAATTCTTGAATACAGGTTATAAACCTACATGTTAGGGCTTGGATAAGGTTTATTTATTATTTATTATTTAGTCAGAGACTTTTACTAGTCAAATGCAAAATACTTGTTTTACCATTTATTGTAGAAAATTCTCTTTCTTCCACACAAATCGACGTCAATCTTTGTAGGGACAAGGCTTTAATGATACATATGACAATGATATCGCAAATTACATCACAATGTTTAAGCCTGAAAATAGAAACTCATACTTCACTAAGGTAATGATAATCAATTAATCATTGGGGTATATAATATAAAACTAAACAAAACAATTGTATGAATGATCACAAAACCAATGTAACACCTCACAATCACATACCCCGAAGTGATATTTCCAACTGCTCTATCTTCTTAGCCATATCATGTTTCCCACAATTCTTTAATCCATCAGTCACCATATCAAAATGTCGTGACATTGGTGACAATTTAAATTCAATCATCTCCATCAAATAATTACCAGCTTCAACATATCTCCCACCACGCACACACATCTTCAAAATCATACTATAAACAGGTCGATTTGGTGGATGCCCTTTCACCTTCATATCACTAAAAAAACTAAACGCATCATCAAACCTTCCATTCCTAAAAAGCCCTTTCAAAATCGGAGCATATAAACTCGGGAACGGCTTATTCCCATCTTCAATCGATCTATAAAGAACACTAAACGCCTCATCAATCTTCCCAATCTTTGAAGTTGCAGTGATCATGATCTTGTAAGTATCGATATCAGGACATAACCCTAATCTACAAACATCATGGTAGAGAGCAATACAGAAATCAATCTCACCCCATTCGCATATAGCTTCTGATAATGTATTAAATGTGGTGACATCACATACGAAGCCCTCTTTTGTCATTTTACGCACTAACCCTTTTGCTGATTCAAGATAACCAGCATTCAATAAGCCATCAATCAAAAGATCACGACCACGAACAGGTGGATTGAACCCCTTTTGACTCATTTCTTCTAAAAAACTTTGGGCTTCTTTCATCTTTCCAGCAGAGCACCACCCGTTGACTAAAACAGAGTAAGTTTTTTTATCTGGGGTCATTCCTTTACGAACCATTCTTCTAACCAAAGCATATGCTCCTTGAAAATTCTTGACTTCACAAAGGGCAAAGAGTAAGGAATTGTGTATTTCAGTGGTTTGGGTGCAATTAAAGTTCTTGCATTTGTTAAAAAGCTCAACAGCTTGATCGATAAGCCCGTTTTTGCCATAATGCTCGATTATAAAAGAAACAACAGATGATGAAATTGGGAGTTTTTGGGTTTTCATCTGGTGTGCGACCTTCCACATGGTCTCCCAATGGCGGGTTTTGGCTAAGATTTTGAGGAGTTCTTCAAATTCAACGGTGGTAGGTTCGTATTGGGGGTGTTGGGTTCGAACCCAATTGAAGAAACGGAAAGATTCGATACCTGAATTGGAACAGCTGCGGAGTACACGATAAACAAGCTCTGAATTGACGATTCTGGAAATGCACATTTTGTTTAGGGTTCTTTCTAAGTAGATATCACGGCGCACAATGTTGGAAATGTGATGAATTGTAGCAAAATAATCGTCGTTTGTTCCGTGGTCTCTTGCCCTGCCATTACTCATCTGGTCTGTCATGGCGGTTTTGAGGGTTCTGAAAGCTGTGCCGATGGAGAACGTGGCGGTGGCGGTGGTTCTTTTTACCGCCGTCAATCTTGTAAATAGAATCATTGGAGATGGATACGCTTT